ATATATGGGGCCCATGGCTACATACCACACTGTCGAAAAGTCACCTCTGAAATCGCTGCAATTGTTTGTTTGCTGAACTGCATCTCTTTCTCTGATGCAACTTCCTTGCAAAGACAACCAACAGTGTAGTGAACTGCTGCCTTTAGCCTCTGGGAAAAAAAATAATAATCAAATTAATTTCACGGGTAAATTTGCAAATAAGAGCTTTCCACATCTTAAAAAAGTAAGACCAAGGTAATTGGCATAACAAAGCTTATTCAGAAAATGTTCTGCATCCGTGGCATCTGGGGTCTTAAAAGCTTGCCAGAGGCCACCTAAGATGCATCAATTTGTCCCAACCCACCTACAGCAAAGAAGAATGAAGAACACCAAAGACACAAGGAAAATATTAGCCCAAGAGACAAAAGGGCCACATAAACCAGAGTCTCCATCAGCCTGAAACCAGAAGAACAAGATGGTGCCCGGCTACCACCAATGACTGCCCTGATAGGGAACACAAGAGAGTCCCTGATGGAGCAGGAGGAAAGTGGGGTGCAGAACTCAAATTCATGTAAAAAGACCAGACTTAATGGTCTGACTGAGACTAAAGAAACCCTAGAAGACATGACCCCTGGACTGTCTGTTAACCCAGAACTAAAACCATTCCCGAAACCAACTCTTCAGACAAAGATTAGACTGGACTATAAAACCTAAAATAATACTCATGAAGAGTGTGTTTCTTAGTTCAAGGAGATACAAGAGACTAAATGGGCAGCTCCTGTATGGAGGTGGGATGAGAAGGCAGAAAGGGATAGGAGCTGGGAGAAAGGACACGGGAAACCCGGGGTGGAAAGGGGGAGTGAAAGGGGGAGTGTGCTGTCACATTATAGGGGTTGCAACTAGTGTCACATAACAACACGTGTATAAATTTTTGTATGAGAAATTAACTTGAGCTGTAAACTTTCATCCAAAGCACAATTAAAAAAGAATAAAAAAATTAAGACAAAGGAGAGCGTCTGCTTAGCCTAATTCCTTCAGCACTTTCCGTAATAGCCCAGTGACTTTTCAAGTGCACTAATAAATTAATGAGACCCTTTGGAGTGTGACTTGTAGAAACATTACTTCATAGTTATGATTTAGGTCAGGTAAAGATAAGGAATTACGGTGGCAGGCCAGTAGGGAGAGAAGACAGACTAGTACCTGCAAAGTATCTGCTTCCCTTTACTCAGTTATTGCACAAATATTTGCTGAACTGCTACTGAGTAAAAGGTGTATGCTAGGTGTTCGGGTGGAACACAATGTAAAACCAGTCTGGGATTTTGCCCTCAGAGCAGTTCATCAACTAAACCCAACAGGATTCCACTCCTCTGCTGCAAGTCCATGCCAGCCCCAGGCCTGCATGACACAGAGAAGAAAGATCAGGACAACACCGGGAAAGGTTCATGAGAGTGAGTCTCACCCCCGCCTTTGATCTGGAGGTTTGTTAGCCAACCTCAGCAGGGCACTCCCTTCTCCTTAGCAACCCTCTGGATACTGGAAAATATCTTTCTTCCCCATACAGACGAGAAAAGTATCAAGAAAGAGAGAAGAACCTCAAGACAGATACTAAATAAGCTCAGCATTGGTCTTGTGTCAACAAACTCTTGTTGAGGCTCTGTGCGTGTTCCGTCCCTGTGCCAGAGACAGAGCTCACCTGGGCACGGTGACAGGTGAACCCACAATAGCATGCAATCTACCAGCAAGTGCTCACAGTACACGAAAGATGAGGAGCTGCAAAAACCCCAGTCCAGGACCCTGGGGTAGAAGCCAGGGAGAATTTCCTTAGTTTTGGAGGTCAGGAGACTAAGTAAGTCGAGATTTTTGGTAGAAGGGGCTACAGGGACCATCAACGTGGGACAGATGAAGCCCTTTCAAGGTCATCTTCTTTTTCAGGTATGTGTGAAAGGGTACAGGACATGGATCCTTCTGAATGTTCATGGGCTCCAGGAAGCTTCTCTGCCCTCCTCCATCCTCCCTCTGGCCTGGGCTAGGTGGCTTCTTTGGTGCTGCTCACATCACTGAACTTATGGCTAAATCACTAGACTTTAAACTTCTCAAGGGTAGAACCCTGTCGGTTCTGCTCACCACTATGCACCTAGTGCCCAGAACAGCTGGCTGAATGAACGGGGAGGTGCTCTACTGGCTTACCATTGAATAGAGAATGAGGTTCAAATTTCTCTGCCTGGACTTAATCCTGTAAAATCACAAACATCAGCCCATCTTTACAACCTCATTTAATCAGAAAGCATTTATTCAGTGTCTATTGAGAGCCAGACTCTGCACTAGAGGCTAAAAATACAAAAAATGAAAAAGACAGCCCCTGCTCTCAAGGAGTTTATCTCCCACTACACCCTTTGACACTTCAAAACCATCAATAACGAAAAACAAAGTGGAGAACTGTTCTAGAGAAGACCAAAGAGACAGTATTACTAAATGCAATGCATGATCCTTGATTGGATCCTGGATGAAGAGATGACTAAAAGAAACATCTTTGGGACAACTGGGGAAATTTCAATATGGATTGTACACTGGATAACAGGACTTTATCAATATTATAATTCCCAAATGCAATAATTTGAGATTATGTAGAATGTCCTTGTTCTTAGGAGATGCATACTGAAGTATTAAAAGTTGAAAGGTGAAGTATCAAGTAATCCATAATTCTCAAATGACTTAAGAAAAAAAAGCAAGGGAGCAATATAGCAAAATGTTAACAACTGGTGAGTCAATATGAAGGGCATATTGATGCTCAGTTCACTATTCTTGCAACTTTTCTGAAGGTTTGAACATTTCACAATAAACAGGGGATACACACCTGAAATGTAACATTTCATAGGAAGGAAATTCACATATAGTGAGCTCATTCAGGTGTTTCTTCAGCTAACTCTTTTGAGGGTGCCACCAAAGGTTCTTGTGTTAAACCTCTTTCCAGCACTGTTGTCATTTGTATGACTCTGCCACACTCTATTCCCGGTGCTGACAAAAGGAATGACCGAAAATCCACAAATACCCTGAGAAGTGGTTATTATTATTCCAATTTTACATTAAGAAAATTGAGTTTTGGCCAGTCAACACAACCAGTAAGTGGTGGAGCCGATGTTTGAACCCAGATCTGAAGTATGGGCTCTGGGTTTGAATCCAGGCTCCCAATAACCTCTCTTAGGTTCAGTCTCACCATCTGTAAAATAGACAATATAAAAGGCACAGCAGCCAGTATTTTGATTCTTGTCACGTACTAAGTTAAGCACTGTGCTCAGTGCTTTACATGGATTCTCTATCGAAGATCATACTCCACCCTCACAACAACCCTGTATGAGATAGGTGATGTCGTCATCCCCATTTCAAAAAAGGGGAAACTGAGGCATAGTCACAAAATCAGAGAGTTTCCGCAGATTCCCTGGCACCTTTCTCCGGCTGTTGTCGGGGAGGGCGAGGTGTGCCCCACACTTAGCACCCTCCAGGCGCGCGGCAAGTGCTCGGGCACTACTAGCCAAAAGCTCAATCGCTCCACTAGCGGTCTATCCTCTGCTTGGGGAGATAACCCACAGCGGAAGTCCTACCGTTGGGCCCTAACACCGCCCGCCGCACACCCAGCCCGCGCACCCAGCCCAGCAGCCGCCCCACCTCCGACCCGCGTTACCGTAGAAACTACCTCCCAGCACCACCCGCGGCGCCCCAGCTGCCGTAAGCGCAGGCGCACGAGGCGGTCCAGCCTCGGTAAAGTGCGCGCCTACCACCCCGAGAGGCACCTAGGAGAAGCCAAGCCGAGACTTCCGGCCTTTTCCTATCCAGAAACTCGACGCTGTCCTTCCCCAGCCCAGCCGGGACCCTGCTTTCTTGTACCTGTTGGTAAGAGAATCGCTGCTGCTCCTCAGCCTCCTCGTCCTCCATCCCAGCGGGGCGGTCCGGGCAGAAAGAGGTGGAGGCTAGGACGGCCCAGTCTAAATTTCCCGCCGCCGCGCCGGGCTGCGCGAGAAGACAAAGCACGAAACTGCACCCTGCCGCGCCGCGCGCGCACGCGCCCTCAGGCGGTGAGGCCGGGGGCGTGACTGCCCAGTTAACTCAGTGCCTGGCATGGTGGTTAACCACAGGCTCTCTGGAAAAAATGTGCGCGAAGCTGAAATTATGTTATAATAAATATTCCTGACATAAAAGATGCATAGCACACAATTTACAAATAGTAGTGAAATACAATACTCTTGTAAATTCCATACATTTAGAACTTGAGTGTGACTTGCAAAATCCGCTGAGTTTTTGTTCTCTCACCAACAATAGCGTCACAAAATCAGACTGTGAATAAATGCTTGATTACTACACCATTCATCTCATCATCATTGACAAAGTGTAGTTCTGAAATGAATGTTGACTAATTTTCCCTAATTTAAAAAAAAAAAAAGATTCGCACTCAGCGACCCTGTAGGACAGAGTAGAACTGCCCCAAAAGGTTTCAAAGGCTGTTGTCTTTATGGAAGCAGACCGCCACATCTTTCTCCCCTGGAGCCTCTTGTGGGTTCCAACCACCCACCTCTCAGCAGCTGAGTGCTTTCCCCACTGTGCCACCAGAGTTCCCTAACTTTCTTTAATGTTAAGGAGTAAAAGGAAATAATGAAACTTAACGTTGGATCTTCACTCCTGAATTCTCTTCAGTAACTTCGCTCCTTCCCAACTTCACTCATTTGGAGCTTCAGTCATACCTCAGTGACATGAGTCAGCTCTCTGCCGAATCAATACAGTAATAGCTTTCAAATACTGGAAGAGTATTTCCTCAGTTTTTTTGTGCTATTCACAATGTAAAGGCTGCTGAAATGATACATTTAAGCCTGATGTGCAGTAGTAACATTTTCTCATCACTTTCTTAAGTAGCCAGTCAACAATAAATCAAACAGCAGTTTGTAGCATTTGCTCATTTCCATGGTGTAAATAACTCCCATCACGTCTGATTTCAAACTACCAACGTGAGCTTACTGAACTCAGAGTTGGGAAGAGATGTGCCATAACACATCCACCACACAGATACAATAGATGTAAATGATGTCAAGAGCATAGATAATAGTAAAATGTAGTAACATAGTTGAGAGTTGATGAGCTTGGAGTATTTATTACCTTTGTTTTTAATATAACTTATTTAAGTGTAAGTTCATATAAAACTTAATTGATAATAATGGCTGTGTTTGTCAGATAGTTTTAAAAATTCCTGAAAATTTAGAAGTCAGTTCTCACTAGCTCATAGGAGCTGGCTGTTGCACACCACTGGCCTGGCACATAGTAAATGCTCATTAAATTAATTCAACGTTGAAAGAACACACTGGATTGTAATTAAAAACCAGTTGCCGTCGAGTCGACTCCAACTCACGGCCACCCCATGTGTGTCAGAGTAGAGGTGTAATCCATAGGGTTTTCAATGCTGATTTTTCAGAAGTAGACCGCCAGGCCTTTCTTCCAAGGCACCTCTGGGTGGACTCGAATCTCCAAACTTTTGGTTAGCAGCTGAGCATGTGATTGTGATTAGCTGTTAGATAAATGTGTGCATGTTGACCTTGCTTGACAGTGAGTTCCAGTGGGAGCCTAAACGCCTGGTGTATCGCAAGTGCTCACTAAACATTTGTTGAGGTTCTGAATTTTAGCAGCACCTCAATGAGTAGGTGACAAAGCAGAGATTCCTTAATGATTGGCAGACTAGGTCCTCGCATCATCAGCAATGCAAGGGCCCCAAATATTTTGTTAAGAAATTTGACTTTTGTGTATTTAACATATATCTTTAAAGCATGTTGCAATTATCAAGGAAAATAAAACAGTATTTTTGGACCTCCTTCCATTTATTTTAAGGTTTAGTGTTATGTTTATTTTGAATTTCCTATATCCCAACAGCTGCTTCCTGCGTGTTAAAATCATCCACCTTTTTTGACAAATGTGAAACTACCTGAGAAAGGAAGGATGCTCAGTGTTTATTTTTATTTCTGCTTAGTTAGAAGTCCATACAAGGTAACCTCCCCTCTTACTACCTCTGTGGAGAAAGTCAGGGATAAAGAGTAAGGAGTTGTGAAGGAAGAATCACACAAAGATTTCATTCTGTGACTCATTACCAGGCTCTTGCCCCAAATCATCGCTTTCTTCGCTGAATCTTAAGTGGTGGGGACTGAGGAGGTAGAGACTCAATGTACAGAGTTATTAGGGGTGGAGCATTTGCATAGCGTAAGATTTTACTCTTCAAAATAATCCGTGAAGAGTTTTTTTTTGTTTTTTTTTTTTTTAAACTTAATCATTACAGTTGTATGGTAGGAAGAAAGGATACAAAGACATGTATAGAACACGATCTGAGAGGGTTCCCAGAGCAGAGCTTCCATGTCCCAAAGGGCACACTGCCTTTCCAGATGCATGGATGTCTTTCATCAGCCAGGAAGCTTGTGGAGCATCAGTGTCCAGAGTTTTTATTTGAGGTCTCGTTGTTGTTGTTAGGTGCCATAGAGTCGGTTCCAACTCATAGCGACCCTTTGTACAACAGAACAAAACACTGCCCAGTCCTGTGCCATCCTTAGTTGTCATGCTTGTTATGGTCATTATGCTTGAGCCCATTACATAATGCAAACTCCAACCCTTCTTCCCTGAGGTCAGTGGATATCATGAGGTGATCACGAGATGGGTCTTTGTAGTCTGGCCAGCCCCCACCCCAGAGTCACCTCATCACCTGGAGTCCTGATCGAAGACAGTTAAATTCCAAGATATTTTTATTTTGTTTTGTTAGAAATTATATCTCAGGAACTGAGGGTAAAGACCAAATTCTCTGGGCATAGTTAGTGTAAATCCCACACCTGCATTCTTCTCAGATTGTTCTTTCCCCAGTCTTGGGTAATTTCCTCACATGCAGTGGATAGTACTCTACAGAATACTGAAGGGGGACTTTCTGTAGGTCTCCTGGGTTCTTTCTCTGTGTAACGCCTTTGTCCCTGGTACTTTATCCTGTGGGCATTAGCTACCTTTATCTCCCCAGACGAAAGGTTCTTGAAAACAGTAAGTTCTAACACATTTAAATCATGCCAATTTATGCAATGATGTCCCCCACAATTTTAAGTGAAAGAAAACAACTCTTAGATTACCATATACAGAATAACCTTATTTTTGTCTTTTTGAAAAAGGCCATATGGATCTACATGTGGTACATAAACATGCTTGAAGGACTAGAAAAAGCTGGAAGGATACGTAACAAATTGGGTTAATTTCTGAGGAAAGGATTGGGGAGAACAGGGACAAGGCAGGTAAAGGCACTTAAAATTTTCACTTTTTATATAAATCTATACTCATGTTTTTAACAAGTATGTATTACTCTTGTAATGAAGGATAAACACATCAGCCACCCCTCTGGTTGTCCCTCTCCACGCAAGTCCCCCACTCCCCAGGGATGCAGAGGGTTGAGACACAGAGAACCTCTTTTTTTTGAAGATTCAGGCCTTCTGGTCAATTTCCACTGCATCTGATCAGTGAGTGGCATCTAGAGGTGACAGGTACCTCTGGTCTCTTCTCCCCTCTGCTTCCTGGGGGTGCCCAGTCTCCTGGGAGGGTCTTGCGCCCCACGCAGGGGATTTCCCAAATCCACAGCCTCTGCTGTGGGCAGGCCGCCTTCTGCCCTTCTGTTGCCACCCTCTCCCATCTAACGGCAAAGTGGGGGCGACAGTGCGCCCAGGCCTGTATCAGCAAGGAGTGCAGGCAGTGGTAAGGGGCTCAGGCTTCCAGGGTTCAGAGCCCAGCCCCCTCTCACCAGCCTTGTGACCCTGAGCAAATCACAGACCCTCTCCTAGCTTCAGTTCCCTCTCTTAAAAAGTAGGGATATTAGTACCCACCATGCAGGGTAGCTGTGAGGTTTAAAGGAGGTAATTCATGTAGAGTGCCTGCCTCATGTAAGTGCTTAAGTAATAAAAACTAATTATTTCCCAAGTAGTTACTATGCTTTGTACCTGGCATATTATCTCATTTTAAAGCAGCTCCTTTTAGTGACATGTATGGTATACACAGGCACTTAAGCGTCTGAAGGGAAAGGTCCAGGGCTGAGGTATTGCATTACAGAAAATGGATATATTTGAAACTTTACTCAATGAAGAGCTAGCCATATAAACTGGCCACTAGATGTCAGCACTGCACCACACAATGAAACAAGGACTTTCCTGCCCACTTGAATGAATACAACCAGTATCGACTAATGGTGACCCCATGAGTGTCAGAATAGAACTGTGCACCAAGAATCTTCAATGGCAGATTTTTTTCAGAAGTAAATCGCCAGGCGTTTCTTCTGAAGCACTTATAAACCAAACCAAACCCGTTGCTGTTGAGTCAATTCCAACTCATAACAACCCTATAGAACAGAGTCAAACTGTCCCATAGGGTTTCCGAGGAGCACCTGGTGTATTCGAACTGCCGACCTTTTGGTTATCAGCCAAACTCTTAATCACTATGCCACCAGGGTTTCCGAGGCACTTATGGGTGGACTCAAACTTCCAACCTTTCAGTTAGCAGCTGAGCACATTAACCATTTGCACCACCTAGAGACTCCTGTCATCTTTATAGTTAACACTTATTGTGTGCTTACTTGGTACCAGGCATTGTTCTATGTGCTCATTTTATATCTCAGCTGCCCTTAGAGGTAAGTAGTTTTCCCCATTTTACATATGAGGAAACACAGTCACGGAGGTGAAAGAACTGCCAGGAAGTGGTAGAGTCCAGGACTGATTATGGCAGTCCAGCTTCCGAGTCCATGCTCTTATCCTCTCATTCTACTTCCTTCACCATAAATAAGACAAGGACATCTGCGGGTTTCCTGAATCCTTTTCAGCTACATAAAATAGGGTACTATAAATATTTAGTGCAATAGCAATTCTTATTTATTTTCCCTAAAATTTCACTGTAAAATATCAATTCAAAATCAATCTCCACTAGTCATTATGTATATTCTATAAGTGCATGACGTCAGGGCTTTCAACTTCTCTCACCACTGGACAAATGGCTCCTAGCACATTGCTTGGCACATAGTAGATACACAATAAATATGTTGAGTGACAGAATGAGTAAAT